TTTTATTTTAATATTTAAATCAAGACACAGTTTATCAAAACATTCTGAAAGTCTGCTGTGGTTGGTTAATGTAAGTGTCAATCAGACTGCAGCCTCATGTCTGATTGGCTGGTTCTGTTTAACCATTTAAAGTCAGATTTGGGAGAATCATTAATTGAGTTGATTGGAAAAAGTCATTTAGTTTGTGTTCATATTTCAGTGCACATTTATAGTTTTTCACTGCTGGTTTAATCAAGTTACAAATGTAACAAACAGTGATAAGTTAGATACGGACACTGGTGTTCAGTAGAAGGTCACATGACGTCCTGCAGTGGTTTTCTGTGTTTGCACTCGTCTCAGCAGGGGCGTCTTATCTATCCCAGCATGCCGAGCTGCCAGTGATGTTGCCCCTCCCCTGCTCTCTCAGTCTGCCTGTATTTGTCACAGTTTTCCCAGCATCCTCTCCTGCTGTGTTTCTCTTCTCTGAGGTGAAATTGTGTCGGAACAGCGGCTCGTGGAACCAAAAACACAAACCAAACCTTCAGAATCTCATAAGTAGTGCTGGAAAACACACTCATTTCTGAAAATGGGGTTTAAAAACATCATTATGTGTTTCCAGACGTCCCGCTGTGACACTTTACATGCTTGAAGACGTTTAAATAAAACTGTGTGTATCACCGGTTTATATGACCTAAATATTTTTATGCAGAGCATAATGGGTTTTCATGAGAGTGTGAGAAAAATACCAATGCTGGAATGAATGAAGTGTATAATAAAGGAAAGAAATCAATATAATTAAAATAAAATAAATATTTTGTAACAAAGGACCGATTTTCACTATTAACTAGTTTCTTATTAGCATGCATATTACTAGCATTTTGGCAGTTTGTTAGTACTTATAAAGCACATATTAATGCCTTATTCTGCATGACCATATTTTAGATCCTTTAATCCACCTCATACCTAAACTATATATATATTTAATAACATTAAAACATTTTCAATTTTTGTTTCACTTGTTCATATTTTCTTTTCTTTTTTTTTTACATTTATTTAATATAACATTGTTATTTAATATATTTTATTGTAATTTTATTTCTTTGTTTTAAAATGTGCTTATTAGATTATTGTTTTGTTTTTTGTATATTTCCGCACTTCAGTAGTTTCAGTAATTTCAGTAGCTCTAATTGTCATTTTGTTTTAATTTTTTGACCATTTAAAATAGTTTTATTTAATTTTATTTGTTTGTTTTTCATAGTTTTTAAATGAATGTTTTTTTTCTGTTTTATTTATCAAAACATATTTTTTCAGAAGGCATGATATTTTATATCATTTTGTATGTGTTCGTTTGTTTGTGCGTATTTATGTATAAATTTTTTGTTAACTTTAGATTGATTCTATTTAACAATTTCAATAGCTTTTTTATTTTTCATGTATTTTTTCAGTTCATGTGTTATTTATTAATGTTTAAAGAGATAGTTCACCCAAAATGAAAATTCTGTCATTAATTATTCACCCTCGTGTCGTTCCAAACCCGTAAGACCTTTGTTCATCTTCGGAACACAAATTAAGATATTTCTGATGAAATCCGAGAGCTCTCTGACCCTCCCATAGACAGCAAGGATATTAACACGATCAACGCACAGAAACGTAGCAAGGGCATTGTTAAAATAATCCATGTGACATCAGCGGTTCAACCGTCATTTTACGAAGCTACGAGAATACTTTTTGTGGCAAAGAAAACAATAATAACAATTAAAATTTCTACTGAACGTAAACAGCACTGATTACGTTCTGGGGTTCTCTCCAAAATGAAGACGGTAACTCGGGGAGAAGAAATGCTGAATAAATTGTTATTATTGTTTTCTTTACGCACAAAAACTATTCCGTAGCTTCGTAAAATTACGGTTAAACCGCTGATGTCACATGGATTATTTCTGTGCGTTGATCGTGGTAATATCCTTGCTGTCTATGGAGGGCCAGAGAGCTCTCGGATTTCATCAAAAATCAAAATCTTAATTTGTGTTCCGAAGATGAACGAAGGTCTTACAGGTTTGGAACGACATGAGGGTGAGAAATTAATGACAGAATTTTAATTTTTGGGTGAACTAACCCTATATATATATGTGGCCCTGGAGCACAAAACCAGTCATATGGGTCAATTTTATGAAATTGAGATTTATACATCATCTGAAATCATCTGAATAAATAATCTTTCCATTGATGTATGGTTTGTTAGGATTGGACAATATTTGGCTGAGATACAACTATTTGAAAATCTGGAATCTGAGGGAGCAAAAAAATCTAAATATTGAGAAAATCATCTTTAAAGTCGTTCAAATGAAGTTCTTAGCAATGCATATTACTAATCAAAAATTAAGTTCTGATATATTTACGGTA